CGAAATCCAAGTTTCTACTTCTTTTGTTTGAGACGAGGATTTGTCTTAGTTTGAAGCTTTTTTTTTTATCTGTGCAAAGAATGGTTCTGATAATGGTTTTCTAAGAAGCACCGATTTCTCTGTTCTGTGCTCTCTTCTTAGTTTCAAACATGTCGTATGCTTCCTTTTTATTTGTTGCTCTCAAATTCTGTGATAAGTAAGAAACAAGTGACGCTTTTGCAGGTTCGATGGAAGTTCTTAAGTGATGGAGGAAAATCTGGTTTACTTCTCATGAGCAATTAACGAGATTTCTTCTTGATGGTCTCACTGTCACGCTGGTGGGAATATGCGTGAATGATTGTCAAGACACCGATCTTGTTTCTCACTACGTTTTTACTTGTTTGAACTCTATCCTGTTTCCTATTAGTACTTTCGATTCTAGCTCCTTCAGGGCAAATCTCCTTTGGCAAAGTAAACATTAAGTAGCAGTAGCAGAAGTAAAGTTTTTCCCGTTAGGTGGCTTTGATACAAGTCATTTCTCTGTGGAAACTTTATCTTTGTGCCTTCAAATTTCTTTGAGGTTTGAAGCTCTACCCTCATTATAGGGCATATCTCCTTTGGCATTTGGAACTCCAGTTACATCTTGGGTTCCTCTTTGAAGTTTAATAAACTTCAGTCCATTTGTTGGGCAAATCTCCTTTGGCATTTCGGAGTCCTCAGTTGACTCATCTTATCTCTCGTCGAGCAAATCTCCTTTGGCATTATCCGAGTCCGCAGTTGGCTCACCTTATCTTTCGTAGAGCAAATCTCCTTTGGCATTATCCGAGTCTTCCGTTGACTCCTATTATCTTACTCAAGCAGATCTCACCACGGTCTGCAGTTTCAGGATCTTGAACTAGACCTTTCTTGTTAGTGTATCAATCATCGTACGTCAGAAACTTATCAAAGAAAGACTGCAGGAAAGCTTCACCATTTCTCATCTAAAGTTTGTCTAAGGTCAGAATATTTCATATCTTTCTGGCTGTTGGAAGTTCTTATATCATTTGGTTTTGTTTTGTTTTTGAGCACTTGACGAAATCAATTTCCGTGGCAGGCATCCAAACTATGGATATGACCCTTACTGACTCTGATTGGGAGAGCTCCAGCGACAGTGGTAGTAGTGAACATGAAGAAGTCGAGTTTTCTTATGGCGGACAGGCACAGAACATTTTCTCCAACCTTGAAGAGACCATTGGAAAAATCGATGACTTCTTGTCATTCGAGAGGGGATTTATGTATGGCGACATTGTGCGGTCCACCACTGAACCATCAGGACAGACTGGCAGGGTTATCAACATAAACATGTCTGTCAATCTTGAGAGTATTCATGGGAAGATCGTGAAGGAAGTTGATACCAAGAAGCTTCAAAAGTTGCGTTCTATCTCGCTCTGTGATTATGTGATTAACGGACCTTGGCTTGGAAGGGTTGAAAAAATAGTTGAGCGTGTCTCTGTCACCCTTGACGATGGGTCCAATTATGAGGTCCTTGCTAGTGATCAAGATAAACTTGTGGCCATTCACCCAAATTTGCTCGAGGATTCTCAGTATTCTTATTACCCAGGGCAGAGAGTTCAGGTAAAGCTGTCCCATGCTCCCAGATCAACTACATGGTTATGCGGTCACTGGAGGGAGAACCAGGTTGTGGGAACTGTTTGCACTGTTGAAGCAGGACTTGTCTACGTCGATTGGGTTGCCTCCATCATAATGGGGGGTGATCGGAATTTGACTGCACCTCAAGCTTTGCAGAATCCTGAGAATTTAACTTTGTTACCATGTGTTTCTCATGCAAGTTGGCAGCTTGGTGACTGGTGCATACTCCCTGGTTCTTCCCACTGTGATATAGCAGAACTGCAATGTCAAAATGTGGCCGGCTACAATCTCAATGAATGCCATAAGACATTTCAAAAAGGGTTTAACAGAAATGTGCAGAGCTCAACTTCAGATGAGCTTTATGTTATTTCGAAGACAAAGATGAAGGTTGATGTTATGTGGCAAGATGGTAGCTGCAGTGTGGGAGTTGATTCCCAACAGCTGCTTCCTGTTGGTGCTGTTAATGCTCATGAGTTTTGGCCCGAACAGTTTGTTAAGGAAAAGGAAACCTGCAACAGCAAAAGATGGGGCGTTGTGAAGGCTGTCAATGCAAAGGAACAAACTGTGAAGGTACAATGGAGAACACAGGTTGAGAAAGAAGTAACACTCTCTGTTGGTGAGCAGATGGAGGAAATTGTCAGTGCGTATGAACTTCTTGAGCACCCTGATTTTGGATTCAGTTTCAGCGATGTGGTGTTCAGGTTACTTTCAGAAGGAAAAACTGATCCAAATGCAGAGATGAAGCACCTGCTTACAGAGAATGACTACAGTGGCACATATTGTTTGTCAAGTATTGGTGTTGTTACAGGTTTCAAAAATGGTGTTGTGGAGGTGAAATGGGCCAATGGTTCTACTAGTAAGGTATGTATTATGCTACTTATGTTTCCATAGAAACACTATTTTATAGGTGAATTGCTATTTGCTATTACGGTTGAAAAATGTGTAACTTAGTTAGGCTCTTTTGGTTTTTCATGAGTCAAGCCTGGAATGCTTACGTCTATACTCCCCTTCACTTAGTCTTGTTTCGTAACAGTCGATCGCTGAAAGATATCTCAGTTTACAATCAGCGTTGTGTGCTGAAAAGTTTGCTCCATTGAAGTAGCAGTAAGGCTTTTGCTTCCTGTTAAAACGTTCTCTTGAATATTTATTTTTCAGGTTGCACCATATGAAATTTGGAGGATGGAAAGGTCTGAATTTTCCAACTCTAGCACTATAAGTTTGGAAGGCGGTATTCAAGATCCTAGTCAGAAGATTAGTCAACCAGATGAAGCATCTTCAAAGCTTCAGGAAACGGTAAATCAACACATCTTGCTAACTCAATTGTTCTGATTGTATAAGTTGTTAGATATTGTCCTAGAGGTTTTGGTCATGAGGAATATCTCAGTTTATACCCATAGCAGCAGATTTTTTTATATCCTCGACTTATATATGATACCTGCATGTTCAGGGTCTAGTGAAGCTCTACAGTGTTGGTGAAAACCACAACAAGAACACTCCAGAATGTTGTTCATTTTTCCTTCCAAAAGCTGCCATTGGATTTATCAGAAACCTTGCATCAAGCCTTTTTGGTTCTCAGGGTTCCACGTCAGTTATAAGTTCGCATTCATGTTGCAAAGATTCTGAAGATCAAAGTGACTCTGAGGTCCTTGTTCAAGAAGCAACGGAATCATATGACATCTCTGAATCAAATCCAGGTGAAGTGGATATGGCCACGATGGTGAACTTACCTATCGAAGGAAAAGTTATTAACAACACATTGGATTCAATTCTTCTGGAGAACAGCAGGGAACTATTGAGATTCAGACAGTTCGATATGACTAATGACTGCTCCGACCATCACTTTCTTTCTTCGGGGAAAGGGTTGGCACAATCTCAGGTATGACTTTTGAGACAAAACATTCTAACATCAGCTAATGACACTTTTGACACTTTTTTTGCATTTTCATCTCTTATAGGTCACTAAGGGTTGGGTGAAGAAAGTCCAGCAAGAATGGAGCAACCTGGAGACAGATCTTCCCAGTTAGTACTTATTCTTTCGATTTATTTATTCCCTTTTTTAATTTTCAGGCGATGCACTTGTTGTTTTGTTTTTCGTTGGCCAAATGATGGTTCACTGTTATTGCATTTTCTGATAGTTCTTTGTAAAATTACTGAATTTGACCTTTTTGTGATGAACAGACACAATTTACGTGCGTGTGTATGAGGAAAGGATGGACCTTCTGCGTGCAGCCCTTGTTGGTGCCCCTGGAACACCATACGACGATGGGCTTTTCTTTTTTGACATAATGCTTCCACCTCAATATCCTCATGAGCCACCAGTGAGTTTCACTACTTTAACTTCTCTATCACTCTCTCTCACTTTTAAATGTGTTTCTTGGGGACCAGTCAGACTTATGTTTCTTGCCAATTTCGATCTTTAGTGCTATCATGTGGTCTAAAGATGTAACATGTTATTTAAAGGTGATTCATGGACTAAAATAAATGACATTTGCCAATTTTTTTGTCCTTCTATGAATACAGATGGTACATTATCATTCAGGCGGAATGCGATTGAATCCTAACCTGTACGAGTCAGGAAAAGTCTGTCTGAGTCTGCTGAATACATGGAATGGGTCTGGCACTGAAGTATGGAACCCAGGGAGCTCCTCCATCCTTCAAGTTCTTCTTTCCTTTCAGGCACTTGTTCTGAATGACAAGCCTTACTTCAACGAAGCTGGCTACGATAAGCAGTTGGGCCGAGCTGAGGGAGAGAAAAACTCTGTGAGTTACAATGAAAATGCGTTCCTCATCACCTGCAAATCCATGATCTCGTTGCTTCGCAAGCCTCCAAAGGTATGTTTTTGTTGCAACAATTTAGCACAAAGTGAAAATTACCAGAGAGACCTTTTTGATCAACTCTGTATTGTTTGCATTGTAGCATTTTGAGGTGCTTGTGAAGGACCACTTCACACAACGGGCCAAGCATGTTCTGACTGCATGCAAGGCTTATATGGAAGGCGTCCCTGTAGGATCAGTGAACCTGCACAAGAGCTCAACCACAAATTCCACTGGTTTTAAGATCATGGTCTCTAAACTCTACCCAAAACTTGAGGAAGCATTCTCAGAAATTGGAGTTGATTGCGGCAAATGCATTGGTCCGGAATCATGAAGGTAGGTGATGTTCTGATGTCATAATATCTCCCTAACATCCAATAAATACTGTATAATATCTGTTTGCGAGGTCGGTAGTTCCATCTCCATGTAGAATATGTTTTTGTATTAAATGTGTGAGAATAAAAAGGCTGTAAAATAGGCTCTCATCTTGTATAATAATATCAAAGGGTTCTAGCTTTGCAAGAACAATGTACCATATTTTGTAATAAAAATGAAACATTTGTGTTTGTATCTTGTCCTTACCAATAGTCCATACATGAACAAGAACCATTTTGGAAATGGTGGAACCGAAGTTTATCGCGCACTATGATCTGCCTATTGGATACAACAGAAATGTACTTGAAAGCAGAATGACAATCCTCACAGATGCGTAGATTCTTCACAACTGTAATGGCTACATCTACGGTTTTCAACAACCCGAATGCTACAGCAAGCTTCTCGCTGTGGTATCGAAGTGCGTACTCCTTTTCCTCTTCCTCTACTTGGTGCATCACTGCTTCAGAAACTGGTGCATACCCAATTTCCTTGCACCGACGCATCAAAGTTTCCAGATACCAATAAATTTCTCCAGTCTCTTGATGAGACTCATCACCCATACTGAACAGATACGTCTTGTTTTTTACTTCAATTATGCTATAGCCGACCTGTTTTCTAAGGTTGTTCCTCATCATTCCATCTCTTACGTGTGATACTTCATCGGGTTTTCCACTCAAGGCGTAGATATTTGAGAGCATGACATGATGACCAGGATTTTCTGGCTCGAGGACTATTAGACGCTCGGCGATTTCTATACCAAGATCATAGTTCCTGTGCATCTTGCAAGCTCCGAGCATTGCTGTCCACAACGCTGGAGCAGTTGCTTTTCCGGTAGCATCAAGCTGATGTATGAATCTATAAGCTTCTTCCAAAAATCCAGCCCGCCCAAGCATATCTACCATACAAACATGATGTTCCACTCCCGGGATTAATCCATAACTCTCGGTCATTCTCTTGTAGACCATACGTCCTTCCTCAACGAGTCCTGCGTGAGCGCAGGCTGATAAAACAGCTACAAATGTTACGTTATTAGGTATTGGACCGTAATCGTCCTCCATTTTATCAAACAGATCTACTGCTTGTTTGCCATATCCATGAGTACCATAAGCAGAGATCATTGCCGTCCAAGCAGCGACATTTGTTTCCTTCATCTTGTCAAAGACTTCCCGGGCTTTTCCAACATCACCGCACCTAGAATACAAGTTGATCAACGCAGTACCGAGTTTAACATTCAGGTCAAGACCCTCACAGACAATGTACTGATACACCCAAGAACCTAAACTAATCGCACCAGTTTGTGCACAGGCCGAAAGGACGCTCACAAATGTTGCTGAATCTGGTTCGAACCCTGAGTCTCGCATCCGATAAAACACCTGAATAGCTTCTTCTGCCAACCCGTTTTGCTCCAACCCAGAAACTAACGAATTCCACGCCACAACAGACTTCTCAGGCATTCTATCGAACACTTGGCGTGCAGCACGCATATCTCCACACTTTGAATAGAACGTGACCAAAGCAGCCTGAACATAAGTATCCAAGCCAAAACCAGAGACCACTACGTGGCAGTGAACTCCGATTCCGATTCTCAATGCCGAGAGATCGGCGCAGGACTTGATAACGGAGGTAAAAGTGTAGTTAGTCGGAGAAACGTTGGAAGATAACATACGACGGTAGTAAGAAATGCAATCAAAGGGAAAACGCAATTTTGAGGTCGATTTGATGACTGAATTGAAGAGGAAATCATCGGGAAAAGGGACAGAGAGGAAGAGAAGGCGAGTATAGGCGATGGCTCGAGCGGAACAAGCTAAAGTAATGAGCTTTGTCAAGAGACTACGGCTACGACCATAGCCCGTTAGGATGAGGTGAGCATGGACCTGTTGAAGTTGGTTAAGACGAGGACCTGCCCGAACAATAGCTTCGTAAGCAGCAGAGTTCGTTGTCATTGAAAATTAGCCATCAAAGAGTGGACCGAAGATCAGATCAGTTGCTGCTGAGCACTTGGTGTTTGTCACTTGTCCCACTGTACATTCTCATCTTGCGCTTCAATTTCGATAAATGTTTCTTCAAAACTCCAACATCCCTCACAATATCTACTGCCATATAGTGCAAATACTCGATTTTTAAAAAGGAACTCAATTTGACCCAAAAGAAAAAAGAAAAAAAAGGGGATTTGCACTCGATACCCATACATTATGTATGAATTGGTTGGATAACCATGCATGTCCATCGGTATGTATCTATAATGAGCATCTAAATCTATATAATAATAGTATTATAAACACAATAAATTTATATTAAGTAATTGATAAAGTTGACACAATTAGACAAGTCCATGTGGTAGGAAAGTTTATAAGAGAAGTTTTAGAATCTTTAGTTTCAGATACGGTTTCTACTCTCTTTCTTCATTTTTGTATTTTTTTCATTTATTTAATCAATAGAAATTCTATGAGAGACCAAGGAATAAACCGAATGTACCCTTATATATGGGTTATATAGGCTTGGGTGGTAGCGTGTTTATATATTCATTGAGAAATTTAATCAAGTAGTGAGCTATAGCATAGCCTTGCGTAGGCGCAAAAGTTAAATCATTTATTATTTGAAGATTTTCAAATGGGAAAAAAGAATGGTATATACTGTAGAAACAATTTAGTTTCTGTTTTTTGGAAATGTAAAAGAAAATATTTAATGCTTCAGAACAGGCGATACTTCCTATAAAATTTGATCGGCGAGATTGCAGGTAGCCATGCTGCATCCAAGCTATTTTTTTTCTTGCTAGCTCACAATATCCGAAATTATAAACTGTTTTCTTTTTCAGATCTAGATTGAGAAGACGAAAGTTTTCGACTATGGGGGGGTTTTGGCGAGCTACTTGAGCCGGTAGGGATAAGGGTTACCTTATGGACCAACTAATGGTATACGAGCTATTCTAAACGCTCTCGAAGAAGAAGTATTAGAGCTAAGATGAGCTCGAGAAAATGAGAAAATAGTTCTGTTATTAATCTGCAGATCTTGTTACAATGTATTTATATATCAGAATATTGTTTCTGGTTTACACAACAAGATAACCAAAAACTAATCTAATAAACCGGATAATCGGTTTAGTA